GAAATGAATGCATGCAAGATTTCACAGTTCTAGCATCACTCCTTCATAGTCAGCCGCTGAACCTTTCAACCCACCCTCGTAAAGAGTGTCAGACATCAAAAGACGTTCTTCTTATTCAATATGTTGTGCCCCTTAAGGACGTGTGTATCATGGCTTTTCACAATTTCCTGCCTATCATTTCCGTCAGTTTTTGTTTTTCTATCTCTACTGATCTCTGTTGTGTGAGATCGTTAGATATGCTATGCCATGCTTTTCTCTGCCTCTGTTGCCTTCAAAATGCCCTGTGAATGTCAAATTTTCTAAGTCTTCTTTCCTCATTATGTACCCTTGAAATTTCAACTGTTCCTTTTTTATGTTAAATATGTGTACTTCTAGTTTCCTTTTTCTGTGAAACTTCATCAATGTTCCCGTGTCCAGTCCATGCTATATTCCTCCTCCTCCTGTAGAACTAAATTTCTGTCACGTCGTTTATGAGAAGATTGTCCAACATTCACGGCCATAGAAGAGGACTGATATTACACAAAAGTACTGTCCTCTTTTCTTTGTTTCTCTTGCTTCAAGTCTCTTCTTCATCTGTGAGGAGATTGTCCAGCATTCGCTGCCATATAGGAGGACTGATATTACATAACAGTTCACTAATGTTTTCTTTGCTTATAACAAAATTTTCATGTTTGTTAGTACTTTGCTTAACTTTTGGAAGTCATTTTTCGTTCTCTCAATGCCCTTTGAATTTCCAATACTTTCCTTTCTGTGTGATGATTACGGCTACATCACTTTGAAACACCGGTTCAAGTACGATCACCAAAGTTAAGCAACATCGAACCTGGTAAGTACCTAAATGAGTAACCGCTTGAGAATACCAAGTTCTGTACGATTGGATTTGCGCGGGTGGTGTAATTTATATTTGTTTTGAATAGTTAATCAGAGATCCGAGTTCTAATTCCAGTTGGGTTCATTATATCCACTTAAGTGCAAATACCCAACATCTTCTCCTCCAGCTATGGGTTAATTAGTAAAACTACTATGCCCGTTTCCCAAAATAAAATAAACTTGCATACAAAATATTTAGATTTGGGAATTAAGTAACCCATAGAGGTGTTGATAAGACGTGAAAAAATTCAACCAAATCCTTTCTGTGTTTGCGATCAACATTGTATCATCTGCATATATAATATTTTTAAGATTGTGGTAAGACTTCTAGGTAATCCTGGTAAGACTTGTAACTCTCTCTTGCTTTACTCTAAAGGCTGAATAAGTCCGGCGAGAAGACACATCCTTGTCTTACGCTACGCACTGGAACAGCAGGATATACATATTGCAGAAATTAAGCAAAGTGTAAAGAATGAGAAAAAAAGATTTGAAAACAAAGAAAAACGACCGAATTACTATGTAACAATGTAATCGCCACTAGGTATTTAATTTGTCTCGCCACTCAGAAGAGTCGTGACACAAGGTCAGTTTTTAAGGTAGGGACCCGACCGCGTACACCCGGGCCAGGAACAAAAATTGCCCACAAACTCCCACAACCGTCGGTTGCGCTGGCCTCGGTGCGAGCACCAATCCCTCTTTCTGTTGCAATGAGAGGGCACTGCATCGGTCACCTGTTCCCCAGAGCTGAGCACCTCTCTGTATAATTTTCTTCCTCAGTTTCAACTCTCTCCTTTGACGGAGTCGCCCCTGGGTGTACTCTGCCCAAGGCGAGAGACGCAACTGAGAACATCTAATCTCCACTTTGGCAGTTAATGTTGAACTATATCTTCACTGATTAATATCTACAGAATATGTAGCAAAAAATAATTTTAAAAGAAAACAGGAGCTACAAAGAAACTGATACCTTGACAGAGACAGCTGAAATTTCTGGGGCACATAATGAGGAAGGAAAGCTTGGAGAAATGAACACTCACAGAATATACTGAAGGCAAGCGAAGCAGGAGAAAATAAACGATTATGAGTGAACGAATGTCAAAGACAAATAGGAATAGTAAAGAGACAAATATTACATAGAGGAGCTAAAGTCAGGAAGTTGTGGAGGGCAATGATCGTCTATATCCTGAAAGAACATGTCATGGACAGAAAAGAAGCAGCCTATCTTATAATCATTAATCTTGTCCCTAGTGAGCACACTGATGGTAAAGAGAAGCGATATTTCGCAATGAACCCAACACAAAAATCTGGACGAATCTTCTACTTTTAAGCGAGAAGTTTTCATTAAAAAAAAAATCGTAACGACAGGTGGACACGATTTAAAGATAGCGAAAGAAAAAGTTTCCTTCTATTGAGAAGAAATATTTTCTCCTGTTGAAGCCTTGTCCGTGTTTGTAAAGAAGGGAAAAAAAAGGTCCACTGGCCCTGCCATAGAGATCGCAGAATAAGAAAATTAAATGACAATTCATTTAATTGCAGAGGCTAAAGAAACGGTCTTTCGAACGACCAAGAATATGGACTAAACAAAGCAGAAATAATACAAATTATTTTGTAGCTGAAAGCCATACAAAGTGTTTACCAGTTAATTGTTCTTAGATTATTCCTATTCAAAGTAGACAGTGCCAAACGTTAATAAAAAGAAAATCCTCTATTTCTTCACGGAAGATTCTCAAGCGTAATCTCGAATCAGAAATTAACATAAAAATACTTACTTAGAAAGTATTGAAACCCGGAAGATATATTTTCATTTTATCGCCATTTTTATTTATTTATTTATTTTATTTATTTAGTTATTTATTTGTTTTATTTATTTACTTTTGTTTAATTCATTCAAAATAAGTTAAGAAGAGGAAGAGAAAGAGATAATATTGAAATGATAATAATTATAGTGTTGTCAGTAGCAGCAGAGATCATTATGAACAACGCACATATTATTACGTAATATCATAATCTGTGCCAGCGGAAGACATATTTTTACTACGCTCCTTGACCCCAGGTCTCAGTTAATGACCAGGTAAGGGACAATATGAAACAGAAAGAAAATAATAATAATAATAATAATAATAATAATAATAAGAAGAAGAAGAAGAAGAAGAAGAAGAAGAAAAAGAAGAAGAAGAAATAATAATAATAATAATAATAAGAAGAAGAAGAAGATGAAGGATGAAGAAATAATAATAAGGAGAAGAAGAGGAAGAAGAAATAATAATAATAATAAGAAGAAGAAATAATAAGAAGAAGATGAAGGATGAAGAAATAATAATAAGGAGAAGAAGAGGAAGAAGAAATAATAATAATAATAATAATAATAAGAAGAAGAAGAAGAAATAATAATAATAAGAAGAAGAAGATGAAGGATGAAGAAATAATAATAATAATAAGAGGAAGAAGAAGAAGAAGAAGAAGAAGAAGAAGAAAAAATAATAATAATAAGAAGAAATAATGAGAAGAAGATGAATGAAGAAGAAATAATAATAAGCAGAAGAAAAAGAAGAAGAAATAATAATAATAAAAGAAAAAGAAGAAGAAGAAATAATAATAATAATAATAATAATAATAATAATAATAAGAAGAAGAAGAAGAAGAAGAAGAAGAAAAATAATAATACTAATAACAATAATAAGTAGAAGTAGAAGTAGGAGAAAAATAATAATAATAAGAAGAAATGATAATACTAATAATAATAAGGAGAAGAAGTAGAAGAAGAAATAGTAATAATAATAAATAATAATAATAAAAAAGAAGAAGAAATAATAATAATAATAATAAGTAGAAGAAGTAGAAGAAGAAGAAATAGTAATAATAATAAGAAGAAATATTATTAATAATAGTAATAATAATAATAATAAAAGAAATAATAATAAGAAAAAAAATAATACTAATAATATTAAGAAGAAGAAATAATAATACTACTACTACTAAATAATAATAATAAGAAGAAGAAATAATAATAAGAAGAAATAATAATACTAATAATAATAATAATAAGAAGAAGAAGAAGAAGAAGAAGAAGAAGAAGAAGAAGAAGAAGAAGAAGAAGGAGAAGAAGAACTGATTGACAGATACGTTTGGTTATTTAAGGCCAGAAATTATTTACTTTAGACTGTAACTTTCTTTTTGAGGGGGAGATGGTAGCGAATGCTGGACAATCTCCTCAAGGATTTCTGGGAGACATAATGAGGAAAGAAAGCTTGGAGAAATGAACACTCACAGGATATACTGAAGGCAAGCGAAGCAGGAGAAAATAAACGATTATGAGTGAACGAATGTCAAAGACAAATAGGAATAGTAAAGAGACAAACATTACATAGAGGAGCTAAAGTCAGGAAGTTGTGGAGGGCAATGATCGTCTATATCCTAAGATATAGGCGATCATTGAAAGACTTGAAGCAACAGAAAATGTGGTTCTACAGAAGGATACTGAGGATACCATGAACCGAACATGTGTGCAACGACTAGGTTTGGGAGAAAATTGGGAACAAAAATGAGAACGTATACTTAACATCAGGAAGAGGCAGGTGAAGTTTCTGGGGTACGTAAAGAGGAAGGAGGGCTTGGAAAATTTGATACTCATAGGACAGATTGAGGGACAGAACAAAGCAGTCCCTAACATACTTGATGAGTTTGAATAAATGAATGTTAGAAAAGGGTTTGAGAGAAATGACAACAATACAAAACTTATTAAAAGCTACAAGAGACAGGAAGATTTGGAGGGCCATAATCGCCAAAGAGACACGGTACAGAAAAGAAGAATTACTAATTAACCCAGAGCTGGAAAAGAGTTGGATTCATGCCTAATCAGAATTTGATAAACAAAACAAGAAATTGCAGTTTATTTAAAGCCAGAAAATATTTTTTTACATTGTAAGAATTTCTTTTGCGAGGACACAATAATAGTTTAGTGATAAAGCCTTATTAATTAACCCATAGATAGGGGAGAAGTGGTGGATTCTCAGCTTTTCCAAGGGTATTTGCGCGTAAGTGAAGATAAGGAAGCCAACAGGAATTGGAACTCGGCTCTCCGATTAACAATTCCAAGCCATTATCCATTGCACCGTCTACACATCCAAGCTTACAGCATTCCCAAGCGGTCACCCATCTAGGTACTGACTAGGCTCGACGTTGCTTAACTTCGGTGATCGTACGGGAAATGGTGATTCAAACTGAGCGATATAGAGGTGGAAAATGGCACCCACATAATCGTAGAACGAATACACGCACCACCATGATAAATTGGCCTTCCATTTGTAGTGGTGCCTATCTGGGAAATGTGAACAGATATTATAATCAGTCGAACAGAATTGACATCGTCACAAGACAGAGACGGTGAACACAAACGGCCATATCAGGATTTTATGAAATTGCAACATTCAAACAGACCCCATCTTTGAGACTGTCGTGTCCACTAAAATATCAAATATAATATTTATAAACCAATCACACCCAAGAAAACACTTACATCTTAAAACACACCAATAAAATCATAAAATACAAATCATAATGGCTGTTGTATTAGTGATCATTATTTTTAGGTAGATACCGACTAAATATCGTGCAAACGTAGTAGAAGACATAACACATGCCCTTTTAGGGCCAATTAGGAATAAATAAATAATTTAATTCTGGAGCCGATTTTGTTACAAAAAAGTTTATAAAAACATACGAAATCCGTTCCCAAACAGGATACACACAACAGTCACCAAACTCCACGCAACTCTCGCTTATGATCTTCACGACCTTATGCTAGAAGCGTTGACAAACTTCAGACTACGACAACACCGCCAACAGTAAGAAACAATTTATAACTATATCTTGTATCCGCTTTTATTATGAATCCCGCACACACATGTTGCCTTTTTCATACGAAAACACATATCACAACATTTTATTGTTTCTCACATACGTACACAAAGACAATTTTTATTCAGAACTTTATCAACCCAAACAAAAAGATACTTTCCAATCTATCATCAACTGCTTGTATTCTTGTCGTTATATTAAATTAATGTTTATATGTTGAAACTAGGTTGTCTTTTTTACTGAATTTTATTCCTTCAATAAAAATCGTGGGTTATTCTAGACGGACAAATTATGAGCAATCCTGTAAAGATATTTTGTTAATGTATTGAATCCCGACATTCCAAATTTTAACATTCAACGAAAAACCGAGTAGAAAGATTCCTACAAGACCACAAAACAAGACATCATCGTTGTCAAAAAAACAAAACAAAAAAAACAAAAAAAAAACGAAAAGGCCTCCCTATCGATGTGGCTATTCTTTGTGACCATAATGACAGTGTCAAAGAAAGCTTGAAAAGTACACTAATCTCTGGGTTGAGATTACCAAAATGCGAGGCGTTCAGGCCACGATTGTCCCAGTTATCATTAGGATATTGGGGTCTATACCAACGAACCTAGACCTCGATGACCTAAACCTAGATAAAGAAAATCGGAATAAAGCCGAGTATCAGACGTTTGCATTGTTTACCTCTGAAAAATATTCTGGGGAAGGCATTATCTGTTTAAGGTCGTAAGATTTGGTGGAGAACACCCATAATATCAGATCTTCGGTTGAAAGCAAAAAAACCGTACGGAAGAAATGATAATAATAATAATAATAATCTAATTGCCCAGTCATTGTGATCAAAGACCACAAGAACAGAATATTCTTTCTTATCGGCATGGCAGTTCCTGCAGAATGTAATATATATCAGAAGATTTAGGACATGAATAGAAAATATGAACAGTCGAAGAGAATTGGTAATGTCACAAGACAGGGTTTGGGAGAAATAACAAAACGACAAAACTTATTAAAAGCTACAAGGACAGGAAGATATGGAGGGCTATGATCGCCTACGTTCTGAAGGGACACGGCATATAGAAGAAAAATTACTAATTAATCCATAGCTGGAGTGAAGAAGATAGGGATTCATACATAATCAGAAAAAAAAGATCTTGAAGCGGAAATCTAAAAAAAAGTGTGGCATATGAGCACATCAAGAATTCTATTTGTGGTTGTGGCCTTGGGTTTGATTGGAAAAGTTTCTAATAAACTCCCTGAAGAGATTCCTGCTAGGCCTTGCATCTTACTTATTATAAATTATTATTATGTGTGTTTTTGTGTGTGTGTGTGTGTGTGTGTGTACGTTTATATATGGGATCGGATTTCCTACATTTTTCAAACGATTTCAACAAAACTTCACTTTTTTTGGCAGGTAGTGTTTCTTATTGTCTTCCACGCTTTTTTCTTTATTTTTACATTCAGAATGCTTTAAAAATTCCATTTACAAGACAATTGTTTATAATAAAATTCTATTCAATCGATAGACTCATAACGATTGAAAACAATGTTTTTGTTTGAGTCTGGGTTTGACCAATTCGTAAAAAAAACAAAAAACAAACAAAAACTAATTAAGACATGCGTGTCCGTCAAACTTAAACAATAATCTTTGTCAATTTTATTTTTCAGTCTTTATGATGGTCGATACTTGATCTATCTCTTACTGTTACATCCCCGGGCAACGCCGGGTTCTACTGCTAGTTAAAGATAATACAAAATAATGTACTCACGAGTACAACTCACACCTTACAAAGGGCTTTATCTATGTAAAATGCACGATGTCATGATGCTATTTCTGACCTTAAGTCTCTGGTTGAAAAAGAAAGAAAACGAAAGGAAATAATAATAATAATAATCTTTGGTCAGTGCCACTCTGTGTTCGCGTTTCAATATGTAAGCTTTTTATTTTATTTTTAAATTGTATCTTAAACCTGACCTAAATCACCTTTAATTTTTTTTTCTTTTCCTTTTATTTTGATTTTTTTCCACACTCCTATCGGAACTGAACTGCTCTTTTTATCTAAGCATAGCGTATGTTGATATATATATATATATATATATATATATATATATATATATTAATGCATGTTTCATTGAATAATATGGACAAGTTTTGTCTATTTTAAGTCAATTCCTTTCATGTTGTCGAATAAGCTTTTTAGCATTATCACTGAAACATGAAAGAAAATAACTATGTTGATACATGTTTTTATTGTTTATCCTGTCTAAGCTTTTGGCTTACATAAGCCATCATCAGAGATTACAAGTACATTACAATAAATTAAATAATTATATAACAAAGATGGTAATTTTTTGTTTTAGAATGGTTAAGCGGATATTGCAAAAATGATAGTTTGTTTTGTTTACATGGAAGGATAAATCGTGCATATGAAACGCAGGAAGCAAAATATTGCATTGCGGTTCATGACGTCACACATGACCACGTGATATATATATGTATGTATGTGTGTGTGTGCTCGCGCGCATGCGTACATGGGTAAAGATCGTATTGGTTCATTACCTTTTTTTCCCGTGATAACCCCCACTGTATGCCCACCTGAACTTTCATCTGATCGGGTCATTGCAACTTATACTAAGTTAAAACTTAGTATGGTCAATTTTTTTTTTTTAACGGGAAGGAAAACTTCAAATAGCAACCCGCAACTCAAGGCGAGAATCGTGCCAAGGAGTGAATGGCTGTTGCGTTATGAGGTCGCGAACAATCCCCTACTGGCTTCGGAACCCTGTTTGTAAAAGACCGTTACCCAATGTGCCAGGTGCCTTTGGGTGGACTTTTGGGCCCGTGCCTCACTTGTGCGAACAATATGAGAACTAAAAATCAAACCAAAAAGTCCAGTATGTCTCTTCCAGTGGATAAACAGGGAGTCCATCTCTCAGGAGGGAACCTACCTGAGGTGAAAAAAATATAATCTGAACAAACTCCGACACAAATAATCAATCTTCAGGTTCCTACAACCGGGATAATCCCAATAATGCCACTGCGAATTCTCCAACTAGATCCACCATCCATTCATTTAAAGAAAGAAAATTTAAAATGGTCACTTGAGGAGGACAAACCCGTTATGACTGCATTCTATGGAGTATTGCAGAAATCTCAGAAAATCATGATTCGGCAAACATTTGGCATTTGGCGATAAAAGGTTGGACAAGCAGTACATTGTCGCAAATAAACTCGCCAATGTAAGAAGGTACATCATGAGAATTAACCGATTGACAGGTGCAGAAATTAAAGAACTAAAAAGAACTGCAACCAGAATAAGCGAATCAACAAGACATGAATGGAACCAGAAATGGACATAAAAATACTAACATTTCACAAATCACAGATCATAAGGAAGAAACTGATATACGTACCAATCACTGAAAGTATAGAAGAGTTGGAAAGAAGTGATTTTAGTCGCTCACAAGACTGCAATAAAACAAGTCCAAAACATTGGATCGAAATATTTTACAGAAAACAAGAATAGTGTACAAGAAGCCAAGGAAGAAATTATGAACATATGAGTCAGACTAAAAATATTGAAATGGAGGAACGAGAACAACTCCCAAAATTACAACCAACAAAGAAGAACCTCTACAATGCAGCACTCAAATTAATTCTGCATGAAGTTGACCCACATATAAGTCTCTACGGAGCAATATATGCATCAGCAACTAAAAAATTAAACAAGGTAAAAAAAAAGGCAGTTTCACATACATCAAGATCCACCTTGGAAAAGAAAAATAGAGAAAGAGAAGTGAATTACCAGTACTCGATGAACTGGTAAGAGAAACAAACATGGGAGGTAATCGCATTTATTATAATGAATAATTTTGAATGTGCACTGAAAAAAGTACAAGTGGAAATCTCCAGGAATAAATAAAACTCCTAACTTTTGGCTCTATTTTCTAAATATAGCACATAAAAATAGCCAAAGAACTTCAAGAAATAATCAATGATCATACTAAAATTCCAGCATGGGTAACCAAAATAATTATCTTTCTTCTATGCAAGAATGGTGGCACAAAACTACAGACCAATTACATGCCTTCCCACTACTTACAAACTGTTGACATCTCTTCTAACAAAACAGATATATTCTTTCTTAGAAAAAATGACATACTACTTATGGAACAAAAAAGGTGCAAACGTGGCTCTTATGGATGTAAAGACCAATTACTTATTAACAGGATGATCTTGGAGAACTGCTTCAATACAAAGAAAAATCTCAGTACTGCCTGGATAGATTACCGTAAGGCATTCGATAGTGTACGCCATTCCTGGATCTTAACGTCCTTAAGTATATATAAGGTATGACACG